TGATAGCGCTTCGTCTCTAAAATGTCTTGCACCTTCACTCCATCTAAATTTTACTTCTGTATGCGTACAGAATGCTGTACAACATTTTTGTGAGTCCAGTGCATTGAAATGAAGAGCTTTGTTTACCAACTTTTCTTATCCAGAATCCTTCGAAGCCCAGTACAGTACTGTGGAATCAATTAAAAGACTGGAACAAGTCCTCCGTATCATTTCCTATCATCAGTTTTATGTTCGTCTAGGCGTCGACTACCTGTAGTTCTTGTTTACAGATGGACGTCGCATTGTGACCTTTAAAATTAGTATAGCATATGCAAGAAAGCGAAGATTGCTTCGTTTTACTGTTTGTTTACTGGCGAGGAAAATTTTCAGTGAGGACATTTTTTCAATTATTGTAGCATACATATTTTCTATCGCTTCGACGGATTGGTAAGTCTTGAGCCAAACGAATTTTTCACGTACATCGTGTTTCCAGGGAACGCAGGACTAACGAAACTTTTGAGGAAGTACAGTTCTTTTTGCTTCACATCGATCTAAAGATCAATAAAGTTCTGCGTATTGTCCCGGAGCCGAGTTCGGAAGAATTTCTTTTTCTCTTTGAAACTGTGATCGCATGTCCTCCGAGGTGAATTGCGTAGGGGTGTTCGGTTTCTTTTTTTTTTATTCATAAAATGTCCTGCGGATTTTTTGCATGTATCCTGTATTTGCAAAGCGAGTCGGATCTTGAGCGAGTTTCGCGGGGAATCAAGGCTTCTGACCCCTTCCTCACCCTCCGCGATTTTTCGTTCGTTTCTGTAATCGTGAATACCAGTAAATGTCACTATTAACGACAGCTCTCATTTTTCTCTTCGATCAGTGCGGAAGGAGACAAGTGACGATTCTTTCTTCTCTCTCTCGCAGCCATCTGTTCTAGTGTAGGCTCGGGAGAGAGTAAGCTGTACATCGCTCGTCTCTCTTTTTTGAAGCCAGAGGCGAGGCGCGTATTGGTATGCGACGGGGGGCGCCGAGGAATGTTGAGCTATCAAAAGAATCACGGGCTCCCTATGTGCATATCAATTAGCTGCGCTAATTAACCGGCTTCGTCCGGGTGTGTATATGTGTGTGTTTGCGTGTGTGTGTGTGTGTGTGTGTCTTTGTTGGGCTCCCCGCCGAGGGTTGGCCCCGCGGGTTGTGTTATCGAACTGCGCTGCAATCGATTGGCTTCGGCGTCTAGGATATGAAGCTTTCTTTTCTTAATTTTTTTGCTCCTTTTTTATCTAATCCTGAAAATTTCGTCGCGAATTTTCTTGGTCTAATTTCGAATGAACTCGGGGAGTTTTCTTTCCGTTTTCGATTTCCGCCGCTGTTTCGCGCCGGGTTACCCCTGACTACATCCATTCAATGGGTGAGTAAGGGGGTTCTGGGGAAGGAATTACGATCCGTTGTTTTGTGCATCCTGACCTCGATTGCCTTTATTATTGTACCCTTCGGCGGATCGACCCGGATTGGGTACAATAAATCCCGCGCATACGTAGGAATCACGAATAGAACTGCTGAAGACAAGCCCGAGCAACTTTCCCTCATCAACTGCGGTTTAAAGAAAGTATATTCTCATTTTGAATCCAATACATATTTCGTTAATCTTTACAAATTTCAAATGCATTCGATGACGTCGAAAGACACATCTAATCCGGAAACTTTCGATTTCCTTCATATATTTTCCCATCAACGAATTGAAACTTCTAAAATTCAAAAAAAAACGTTCCACCTGTTAGATTCTGTTAAAACGAATTTTGCAGTCCCTGCACAAACGCAGAAGAAAGCTTGTTTTTGGGTACCTGTATTTCGAATTAAAACAATCTTAATTCGGCGAATATTTCCGTGCTTTTTTTTTTTTAGAAGTCTGAGCAAATTAATTACAATATGGCGAGTTTCTTACTAATCATGACCTTGGTTTTTTTAATCTTTTGCTGACGATAGAATGCGGATGATTTCCATACGTTGACGATCTAACAGTTTTATCGTGTCTCAAAGTAAATGTTTTGAGAAGACGACGCTGATGTTGTTGGAATTATCATGTGCAGTATTTCAGGAAGTCGCCGTGAGGAAAAATTTTTCATTTCAATAAAAATGAACGTTCGCAGAACCTAATTTTGAGAATTTTTGAGTTATGCTGAAGGGATTCGGTGAAGGAAAGGTTTGAAATTCCGCACGTGTTCTGATATTTATGCAATTTTCTCCAACACTTTTCTGTCGGAAGAGGGAAAATTATCGCGACGTTCGCATCAACATCTCTCTTCATTCTATACGCCTGAAACCTTGACGCATTAGGAACGCATTTTTACAACGCCCCGAATGTCCTAGTCTAGTGCAAGTCGTGCTGCGGCGGGTCTCGCTAGACGAGGGCAAAACATCATTAAGAAATTTTTCGAAATTTTTGCCGGTTGCGGCGGCCTCGGACTCATTAGGTACTTTTCACCCAAAAAAAAGAAACGCTTTTCTGCAGTTCTCTCCGCCATTGCGGAGGAATTTTTCCACGAGTTCGCGGGGTCCGTTTAATTGCGTCATATATTTTGTCCCGGTGTCTCCGAGCGGCGAACTGACGGTCACGAGTCCGAAATTAAAGAAGAGCTTTTTTTTCTTTAAATCTAATTTTTTCTTGGTAATGAATTTTAATCGCACTGCCTTCTTTCCGGGGTGCGAGCTTGAAACAATTGTCGTTGGCACCAGTTGTCAGCCGGATGTGCGTTTGTTTCAAGGCTAAGCACGGCACAGTCCGTGCGCAAGGAAATGTTAAATTTATTGCTTGAGGCCTCTGTGCACTGTTGTATGATACCTGCTGCCAAAAAAGTAGGGGTGACTTGGGGGGGGGGGGGAAGAACAGGGACCTGCTCAGAACAGAAACAGTCGGTGTGTTTGTCAATATGCTACTGGTTGAGCAAACAACCTCCTAGCCAGTGTGCGTCGATTGGATTATTACAATCGATTATCCTGCAGAGCAAACGCGGTTCGTGATTGAGCGTTTGACTTGAATCTCCGACACATGATATGATTGAAAGACTTCTTTTTTTACATTCTAATCTGGAATTTTTATCGCTCTACCATCAGTGGTGAAAACGAAAAACATATGTAAAATATACCCTGGCTGAAAAATGTTTTTTTTTTTGTTCAAAATAATTTTCATCAAGAAACGAGCGTTCGAAAGATTTGTGGAGCAAAATTCAGTACCTTCGTTTTCCTGCGTTGAAAAAATAAAATACTGCGTAAGTTGTATTTATTGTCGATTTGTCGTTCATTGTGATTATTTTCTGTGTCAATTTTCTTGAATGTTCTGCAGTTTTCGAAGATGTTGTCTCAAATTTGGTGACTGGAAAAAAGCATCGCTGTAGAAAAGGAATGACGAGAAAGTCCCCTAGGAAGGAATGTACAGTACTATATAAAAAAAAACCATAACATGTAAGAAACTTCCAGTCAAAAAAGCATTCCTGGTATGAACGAGTGCTCTTACCAAAACCTGAGGAAACACTTGGTCAAAAGTAAATTATGGGTCCTTCTCGTCGGCGAGCTTTTCTCATATCGTGGTAAAGATTATTCAAGTATTTCACGTTTTCTTGAAAATTTGCGGAGTAATTTATTGCCCTCTTTAAGCAAACTCAACAAGGGCTTAAACTTCGGAAAGCTATTGGAGCCCTTTTCTAGCGTTTTTTTCTGTGGCGCTGTTTTTGAAACCGTTCGTAATTTTCGGGCTGCATTTTTCGAAATCGACTCTTTTATCTTGATGAAAATCCAAAAGCGTTCCTTTTTGAATGAGATTGGTGTTGCACATTTCGTAATTTTGCTGATAATTAATCCGTCTAAACTCCTTTTCATTGCAGTTCTGTATTATATTTCAGCGCGAGACGGCTCTGTACTTTAAACTAGACCTTGAACATTAAACGCTTTTGCCGCCGTTTGCTTTTGTTTTTTGTTTTTCCTCGCTTTCGTTTGAGTTGTTCATTCGTTCCGCGCAATGTTTGCATAACCCTGGGGGAAAATGATTGGAATTTCGTGGTTGGATGTTGAATGCGTTCAAGTTGATTAATCCGACGGCAACTTGGCTCTTCTCATTTTCGCGCTCCCCCTCCCGAGAATCCGTAAGCTTTACTTACATTGTCGCTTATCTCTGTCGCTGACTATTTTTCACGCGCATAACGCTCGTTTGAGGGAGGAAAGAAAAGAAAAAAAAAGATGGGGGGAGCAAGCGGAGGAATGTTTGTCTGGAAACGCTTCCTGAGCCGCAGTTCCCGGGATTTCCAATTCCGGAGCCCCACGGTGTGTCGGTGAGGTGTAATTCGTAATCAGTGCTGGTTGACTCTGTCGCGATGTTTGCTCTGCGATTCCGCTGCGCTCCCTGGCGCCGGTTTTCTCAGGAGCACCTTTTTTCTCCCTCTCTCTCTCTTCTCATATCCTCCCGTCTTTTACCTGCTGTGCTATCTGGGCTTTCTACTAGAGTGCCGCTATTTGACGAGTCTGTTGTCAGGCAGGCTGATTATTAATCTTTCTTCCTTTTTCTCCCCCCCCCCCCCCCCCTCTTTTCTGCTCTCCTCGTTCCCCGTCGTCCCGCGTCGGTCGGGCGGTATCGATTCACGTGATTTCCGCGTGGACTGCTCGATTTTGTAAAGAGTTGGGTTGAAGTCTCAGCTGAAGCAACAGCTGCTTTGGACACATTGAGACATGCTTTGTAAACACACGCTGTCGTGGATTCTCTCTTTTTTTGTTGTTGTGGCGATCCTCCTTGCTCTCCGCCGTCCTGCTCTCGTGTATTGTATGTCTCGCTTCGACACCACCCTCAAGGCTGAGATAAAGAGCTGTTCTTTCCTTCTTATCCTTCAGGATAAGCTCGTAATGCTATCGGCTGGGTTTTTAATTGGCAAGTCTAGGCTTAGATACCGCTGAGAAGGAAAATATAATGCCGGGTGAAGAAACAATCCGATGTTTTACGTAGATTAGGATGTTACTCCGGTGCCTTTTCAAAATCTGTGAAAATGAAGGAAGAGATGAAAATGAAGTCATTGAGTTCCTGACAGCTTCAGTCTCGGTCCTGTTAATGAGCTGTTGAGTTTTTTTTTTTTTTTTTTTTTGTTTTAAAATTCCAGTTGTTTCGGTGGGGGTCTTGTTACTGGGCTGTTGTTTTTTTTTTTTTTTTTTTTTTCGGCATAAAAATGCCAGTCTGATTGATTTTTTTTTCCCTGGGTTGTCGGGGCATTCGGCGCCGATGGAGCATTTTCTGAAAATTGAAGAATTAATTTTCATGATTATTTTATGGCATCGTGAGCATACGGGAAGTCTAGTACTTGCAGTGGATGAGAAATACTGATATTAGAGAGATTTTTAGAGGCGAAATCATGCCAATGCGGAAGGATAAGAGGGGGATGATGGGGAAATGAATAGGCCTGCGTCATTTATGCGGTTCTTATCCTTCGACATCACAGTTTTCCGAAATTAGCGATTGCCGTTTTATTATTTTTTTTTCGAACCGCAGTACCTGGAATATGCTGTTTATATTCGAGATCATACGAATTAAAGGAGATTGAGTTATTTAGAAAATTGAGCACGCGGAAATCATGCCTCAGGACAATCACTACAGGTGATTTTCCGATTTTTGGGGGTTCGTCTAATTTTTTCATTTTTGCCCGAGCCCATGTAATCTTTATGCCATAAAAATCCCTGTGGCATTGAGCTGAACAAATCCGATTGCTGTCATATTGGCTGCATTTCTACTTTTTAAATTTAAAAATTTGTGGGGACTAAACAGACACTGCCACCTCCCCTCCCCTCATACATGTACAGTAATCTCGTAAATATTATTTTTCCCCGTCAACGCATTTAGTAATTTATCTGGCTTTTATTTTGCTTCTTCAGATTTCCGCTCAGGAAAGCAGGAGAAAGAAGAAGGAGTATATGGACACCTTGGAACGTAAGGTGGAGATTTTGGAGTCTGAGCGTTCACAATACCAGGACCACATTCAGAATCTGGAGACTACCAACTCAAGCCTGATGGCGAAGGTGCAGAATTTGAGACGCCAATTGGACCAACTCAGTGGCGGTTCGCCTGCCAAAATTGCTCGCCGCAGTTTGTCGACCCAGACCGGGGTCACTTTGCCCGCCAACGACCGCGTTGATGTGAGTTTTCTTCAAAATTCTTGAAGGGCGACTTGGAAAAATTAGAGTGATTACTTTTTAATGGTATATTCCTGTTCATATGTGTTCAGCTGTAATACTCCCGTTTTCTATCGTAATTTCAAATTCAAATATATTGTGCCTCATAAATAAATAAATACAAAAATGGTGTGAAAACTTCTTTCAATTTGTTACAATCATAACCGAATTTGGGAAAGCTGAATTTCGGCTCGAGCGGTACTCAACTCCCATCTATGGATAAGTTTACTTCACTTTCCGGAATGAATATGGTCATTTGAATCACCAGCTCAATAATTCATGATAAAATGTGTCTAATATGAATACTAAGTACACTAATTGTATCCCGAATTTAGCTTTACATCGGTTGTAAAATATTTCTGCTTAAAATGTAGTCCAGAATTTTCTGTGCTACGTTGTATTTCTCATGGGGGAAAGAAGAACAGTCACGCAAGACAACGATGACAAGAATTTTCGCGTTTCTCGCAGTATTATATTTTGTTTACTCGGAACGTCACGACTGGCAGTACAAGTACTTTTTCCGGTACTTCACAGCGCCATCAGCGCGTCCGGGAACCAGATTTTTCGTTGTCTCTCCGCTAACGAGGCGTATCGAACCGTTGAAACTCAGTTTCGTGCATGTTGGCTGACTTGATCGCATTATTTTTGATGGGGTGGATAACATTTATTCTAAGCAATTCACCGGTTCAGTGAAACGCCAAGGGCGCCGAAACCTGCTCAGCTGAACAGCTTTCAACTTTTTTTCCGTCGCCTTCTGCTTGGCTTCAGAAAGAAGTTTCCAACACCAGTCTTTAAATATTTTTTCCAAAAGAGCAATCAAGTTTTTTGAAAATTTGTTCAAATACCTGGGCTGATAAAAAATGACGAATATTTTAAAGGATCTTCGGTTATTCTGCAAAATTGCGTGAACCGTTTTTCGACGGTGAAGAATCGGATAAAGTAGGACACTGATGCTGAGTAGTTGTGCAACGCCAGATGAAATCCGGGTCGGTGTTCTGACGACCGAGTTTTAATACTTTTTTTTATTTTAAATGAATTTCAGGGATCCGCGAAGTCGGAAGTGCTCGACGTGCCACAACAGCGTCGCGTGATGCCGTTACTCCGGAAGCAAGTGAACGGTGCCACAGTGGAACTTGAAAGCTCGTGATGCCATCGAAGGCGCCGAATTTTGCTTCAACGGCCCCGTTCATCGTTGTACAGTGCTCGAAACCGAGAAAGAAGTGCTTTTGTTTTTTTGCGTATATGATTGAGCGGCGGTTGAGGCCGGTCGCATTGTTTGCCTTTTCTTGTTCCGCTTGTTTCGAAAAACGGAAGAAAAAAAACTCATATGTGGTCTCACCTGGATCGATTTCGGCCGTATCATTTTCCCCCCCTCTCCGCTGGTTAACGAGTGCCTTTTTCGACTATTTTCTGCGCGGAATGCTTGAATGTCGGTGTTATTTTTTTTACGTGAGAACTCTTTCCGATTGCTCTGGAAAGTACATAGATCTCATCCGTCCCCGGGGAAATCGCTAGTGGTTTAAGATGACAGGATTTTTGCCTTTTCTTGGGGTGCGGGGGTCAGCAGAGCCGGGGTTGAGTTAGTTGCAAGTTTTCCGACGGTGTTTTCTCGGATTTTCGAAACTGAGAGTCGCCACCTGTCGAAGTCCTTGGACAGCTCGCGGCACTTCCGACGGCTCTAGTCTTCCATTGGTCTCAGCGAATGCGAGGAATGAAGAGATTTTTTTTGCTAGAAATTGGATAAGACTGTATGGGGGATTCGAAGATTTTCGTTTCATGACGGAGACGGAACTGTTGATTGTTGCAAAAGTAAACTTACTTTACCGTACCTATTATTTTCCTCGTTCGTTCGTTCGTTTTGAGTCGAGACTGATCAGTTTTTCTTGCCTTTCTTTCCCATTTCGCCGTTGATCCGGGGTTTATGAATAGTTCGCGATTCCGGCGAGAAATTCAAGACTTGGTCGGGACGAACTGGTGCTGTCATGTTCCCACTTGGACACGCACGAAAAATGTTCACGTGCTCATTCGGTTGTATGAGCTAAAAAAAAAGTCCCTTCGCGAAACCGACTGACTTTTTGTTTTTGTTCGTTTGTCGTATTTTCCAAGTTTTTGTTCTTTCCCCCGCGGTAAATCCGAATTAAACTCAGGCGGGAATTGTTGTTTCACGTGGGTAATTGCCGTGTTTTTGTTTTTAAAAAAAATTTGAGCGAAAATTAGGAATTTTCAGGATTTTTGTCTTGTGCCTCCAGGTCTCGCGTTAGGCAGAATTTCAGTGGCTGCTTTTTCTGAGCAGAGTCCGCTTTTGTTAGCTGCGCATTACGCACGAGAGCTTCTCGTGGTTTGTGATTTTGTCATGTAGTCACTCATTGCCTCCCACTGGCGTGCTTCTGTTAATTTTTGTTCTCTTGAAATTGACGGCGATTGGGAATAGTTTGTTCGCGTTTGCAGTGACGGGATTTTTAGGTCATTCCAGGGCCCATGCGTGGAGAAAGAAAGTTCGTTTTTTGTGTGACGCACGGTGATGACTTTTTCTCATAATTCAGTTGTGCCTGACCATTATTTTTGTTTTTGGTTTTGTTTGCGGACTGTTGCGGGAGTGATTGACGCGTTTCCCTCCGACGAATTTTCTTCGAAAAAGGGGGATATTTCTTTTTCCGACCCTTTGATCTCTGGTGTGAGAATAGAAGCTTTCTTTTCTTTTTGTCCGCCTCGCGTCTCGTGGAAGGCGGGACGTACGTATTTCCGGTTCTAGATTCTCTCCTTCGGTCTCGTTTTCGTTGACTCGCTGACGGTGCTTCACCCCGGCCCCCGTGTATACATCAACCCTGTGAATACTGAGCCCGTGAAGTTTCGACGGAACCCAGCTCGAACTGCTTTCACTGACTGGCCGAGCATTAGGGCACGGAGAAATATGCGACGAAGGAATCCCGACCGTGAGGCGGCACAGTATTTGTTCGGCGGGAGAAAATTGTCTTGTCATCGAGCGGGAAGAAATCGCGGTTGAATGAATGGATGGGCTCCTTATGATCTCAAGGCAAAGAAGTTCTCTTTCGCGTGGTGGTTTAAGAAGCAAAAATTGCTCATTCAACTTGGTACAGCTTTCCTGAAAAATTTTTTTCAATCTTTCTACGGTTTATTTATCATCGCGATACACTGGAAGTCCTCATGAGAGATCGCTTGTACGCTTTTGGTTTAGTTTTGTTCGATTGCGGTGTGCTTTTTTTTTATCGGTATGTCTGGGAAGCGTCCCAAGGCGGCATTGGTTTCCGGCAATCGATCTGCAGGGATTGCGTTGGAAATTTTTTGTTACGGAATGATTTTATGTGTACAGATGGCTTATCATCGCTTCTGTCGAAGCCCGTGTTTGTCGTTATTCGGTGTCGAAGGTGTGTGTGGGGCTATTGTTTTGTTTCTGGTGTGGAAAAACTGAGAATTGCTGCTCCTTTTTTCTTGTCCGTTCATCTTTTTTTTTTTTCTTGTGAGTTCGGAAAGTTCTGGCAAACAATCCTTTTACGTTTCGAGTGATGCAATTTATTGATACCTCTTTACTTTCGGGAGCTTCTGCAATTTTCATTTTTCTGGATGATATTTGTTCGTGGTTTGTTCTCGTTTATACTTCGCTAGTGTTGAATCGGCGCGAACGACTGGGAATCACAGCCGCCGCGATGGAAGTTATGTGACTGGAAATGGTCACTCTTCAGTTTCTGATGGAATATACTTGTTTCGATTGCCGAAAATCGTTGCTATCATTTCAAATATTTCACTTTTTTCTCGCCTCAGTCCACTTTTGTTCGACGTTCTCCGAAATAACTGCGTTTTTAGGATGGTTCAAAAGTTCTCTCAGTACTTTTGAACTGAAAGTTTTTGCTCCCTCAAGTTTCAAAATCCTACAAATCATTATTTGGGATCCATCAAAAGCTTTCGTTTCATTTGCTGAACACAGTTTAAACCTGATTTTACCTTTACTTTAAAGGGCAAATATTTTTAGGATCTGAAAGTGCATCGTCTACTGGATACGGATGTCAGATTGGGAAAATTGTGCCGAAAAGCTTATTCAACGTATTTCCAACGCTTTAACTGCCATAATACTGCATTTAAGTTTGGCCCTATTATTTACGATCTTATTCAATTACGTTAATAGATTTCCAGTATCCTTCGTTCAATCTGATGGTGAGCAGAAATACTGCACTGATAAGAAATTTGATTCAACAATGCCTTTTAAAAATTAAATCAACATCCTTCAAAAATGGTACGAGACTGAAAAAACTTTTGAGCCAAACCTTATACAACACAGTGTTCCATCGCGATATCGACTGAGAGAATTTGTCGATTTTGTGTACCTGGCGCGGAATAAACGCGGTTCTTCCAAATTTTTTCCAGAAAATTAGTGCAAATGGTGCAGATATACTCGTACAACGATGGGGTTTCTTATCTACCTCCGCGTGACTCCGGGAAAAGTGAGGGACGAGAAGAGAAACGACCAAAAAACGCCACTCTCATCGTGTTGATTCTATGAGCGGCCAGTGTTTGCTTCTATCTACTTTCGTTTCACTCGCAATGAATGGGTTTATCGAAAAATGCTTTCAAATCTCGTTGATTTCGATACGAGGCTCCAAAGTTTGAAGTCCAAGGGAGGTGAGCAGTTTCCCAACCTGATTTGTCGAAGGAATGAAGTAAATGACGTCGCCTGCACGATTAGGGATATGAAGGAACTATAAAACTCAATGAAAGACCTGTACAGATCGTCGTGAGGCCTTAAGCGAATTTATTGAATTGTGCTTCTGCTGTTGATTTTGCGGAGAAAAATTTATTTGAGATCTCAATTTTGGCGGTATAGAAAATTTCGAAAAATTTTCCGATTAGCCCTCGTGTGTCACTGCTTTGGGGAGTTTCTCGTTTCCTGGATCGATTTAGCGTGTATGTGGAAGAGTCAGCGTAAATGGATGCCGTCTGTTCCATTCCTCTCTTTCTGACGATAAGACTCGCAGCCTGCTTCTTCATTCAGTGGTTGGTTGGAAACGTACTCGTGATGATGCTCTGTTTGGTCGCGAATTCAATATATCGAGTCTCATCTCTATCGGTAGAGTCACTGAATTAGCCGTATATAATTCTGGTCCCAGCATGTTCAGTGTAATCGCCGTCGTGTGATTTCATCTTCTTGCCTCTATCCTGCTTGAGATGTCATGAAAGAGTCCCAGCATTCATTCGTTCGAGGATTTATGTTGTGCGTCGGAATATCTGTAATGCAATGAGCCGTGCTCCGATTATCCTTGTGCTTTTATGTCCGGTATATCATCAGCGTACCCGTCATTACTTGTTTTTCTTCTCACCGTCGGAAATGAACGACATTCTCACGATCATTGCGAACTTGCTACTCGAGTTGTCAAGCACCGCGTTTCTCTGCGTGACTCGCTTTCAGTGATTGGGGTAAGTCCCAGGCTGTTATAATGGGTATCGGTCGTGTGATTTAATGGCGTATATAGTCGCAGTTGTGTCGGATGCCATTCGGCCACTGATCCTGTGGCGAGGGAATATTGAGTTATTCCGAAGGGATAAAAGGGGCAAATGGACGTTGTCCGCGTTCCGCGGAGCAGTGATATTAGGTGTCCACCTTGAACCCCGACGTCGAGGTTAATGAGGTGCGAGTACGCCTGCGTGTGTTATGCGTTCACGGGTAAATTTAAATGCACCCCCCCCCCTTTCTGCCCTTTAAGTTTATATAGAAAGAGCTCCTATAATCAGAACATCACGTTCACGTCATTTTCATTTCGGATTGACGCATGCTGGAGTAGTGACATGTCAGTGAGGTCATCGTTTGATTTTATTTTATTTTTGAAGGTACAGTATTTCTAACCTGATTTTTCAATGGAGCCAAGACTGGCATTTTTCAAATCAAATTTTTAAACTTCCTTCAAATAGAGAAGCTAACTTCAATGTGAGGGATAGGCACTGCGTTTATTGCTACAGTTGAACCTTGATACCTCGAACCTAACTAAGCTGAATATTCAATAATTCGAATTTTTATCAAGTCCCCGTCTGAATTCCCTTCAAAACAATGCATTAAAAACCTCTTTAAATTGAAGTTTTTTCTTTCAGATCTTTGTAACTCGAATTTCTGAGGCCTTTTGGCTAGTATTTTCCAGGCACAGGAAAGAGAAAAGCCAAACAAAAATAATTTTGTTGTGAAAGACTACTGAGGCAAATGAACCCTTGTTTCCAAATTCAGAATTTTGTCAACTCATTTAAGAAGCAATGTAAGGCCCAGAATATCACAATTCCCTTCAATTCTTCTACTCCCTAAGTTGAAACCAAATTCGAATTTTATTTGCTGGTCGCTAGAAATTCTACTTGGCGAGGTTTGCTATTGTTGGATTCTGAATCAAATGCATGGAGATGGACTCGATTAATACAGAATAAATTTCTGATAATTTGCTTGACCCTGGTATAGTTTCTGCTGATCGTGTTTTAAATATATACAGAAGAAAAATAACACTTCAAACTTTTAACTGATTGCCTTGATCGATTTTACTCATTTTCCGAATAATCAGGTTCTATCTCTTCAATTTTTGACGAAATGAATTCCCTAGTTGAATGTACGGTTCGTGGAATTTAGATCCGTGTGAGAAATAATGTACTGTTCACGCTTAGTATATTCTACTGTAGTACAGTATGTTTGGTTTCAGCTTGCCTTCAATGAGTCTGTTCGGGAAATTATAATACGTTTTTCTGTTTGGCACGAATACTGTGCGTAGCAAGTCAAAGAAGACTTCCCGTCAAATTTCAAAATTATCGTGTCCGTTCCTGTCGTCAGGAAATCGCGAAAGTGCACTTTTTAAAATAATCATGCAATATAAAACCAAAGTGAAGACTTGGTTCCTGGTGAAGAACTTTCAAGGGGAGCCGAAACTTTCTGACTTCGAGTACCATGAAGAGGACAAAACCTTCGAGCACAAAGACTTGAAAGCAGGAGGTACGTTGAAGTACTTTCTAATAAAAGATCTAATTTAGATTAGGATTGGTCAAACCTTTTTCCCATCCATGATTATCGAGCAGCTGATTAATTTATTGTCATGTATTGCTCATCGCCATATTGTGTATGAGTCATCGGCAATGCATCGTCTCCAAATTGTGTAAAACATGTAAAGCATCGGCGCTCCATTTTTAATTTAGCGTAATCTTGAAACGAAATCTGGAAGATTGGATAATGTGCATACTAAAAATAAGATTTTTTCGATGACTCCGAAGTATAACCCACGAGTGATTTTTTTGGTGCTTCCTTTTTGACTTTAAATGTTCTATTCACCATCAAAAAAATGTCTCGGGGGTTTTTGAGGATAACAAATAAAAAACGAACTTCTCAATAAAATGTTCAAATCGAGAATATCTTACCGAAAATTCTGGCCTGAATGAACCGTATCTGAGCCAAAGCTGGTCAAAGTATATGGTGTGAGTCGTGTAAATCATTATACGTCAGTATGTTGGCAAAGTTCCTGTGTGGATTGGACATTAAAACTCTGAATTCATTTAGTTTTAAAATAATGATTCATTTTTTATCCTTCTCATAGTCACTCGTTCAGTTTTACGATTTATATGCTGCATTATAATTCCTATGGAATGTGTTGTGAGATAGTATCACAGTGTCTATCTTCATCCGTCCACATTTTGGTCAACTCGTACTCGATGACCGGGGACGATTCCAGCAACGGAAGTTTCTCTTATTCCTCAACTGCCTGAGCTCTAGAGCTAGAGTAATGAGGACTCGCAAGTCGTTACCATAATTAGCGCATTATCAGTTCTTGGGAGTTTTTCTTACTTTTCAAAGTGCAATTTGCGAGTAAAATGTCGGAACACCGGACTGAGGGTGATGGCTGGGACGATGCCGACGCGAACAGCTGCCAATAGACCGCAAAGAATGGGGCGTGTGATTTTTAGAATCTGGTCTTGAAAGCAATGCTGGTAGTGTTCCGCGAATACTCTGAAACGATTTGCGTACACAGTAACGAGAAATAATTTAAAGGCAAAACTTGAAACCAAAGTTCGAGTCCTTGAACATTTATTTCTCATGATTTTTTTTTCGGTCCCCGATATATGAACAGCATTCAAGCTCATGTGCAGCAGAACTTCCAAGTTCAGCAGGTTCTAATTAGAAGACATAATCTAGTGATGGAAGGTGGTTCAAGTGTGCACATGAGCGTTCAATTGAAACTTTAAATGCGTTCAAGTTCAAGATTTATTTTGGGTAGTCTAATTTTCTTCAAACCAATAAGTATACGAGTAAATTGGAAATCAAATTTTTTTTGCGAAATGTAGTGATCATTTAAGATTTGTGAAAGTTTCTTATCTTTGGCCTCGGGAGCGAAAGAAGGTTGAAAGCTTATCAATTTCGATGCTTTTCGCTGATGGGATTTAAAATGGCCATGATATGTTGCGTGCAAACTTTGAGCTTTTTCAAGTACGTAAATGAACATTTATTTGAGTCCATTTGGAGCTATGTGAAATTTCGTAATTTTTGGGTGATACAGCACTGTATTTCAGTTCGAATTCAATTTTCTCTTTTTTTTTTGCAGCTTGTTCAGAGGAAGTTCCATTCTTTCAAATGGCAGAAGAACGACAATATGAGAGTTACCGCTTCAAAAGCGATTCGAGATTCAATTTTAACTATTTTTCCCCTGAGTTCCTAGTTTCCAACTGCTTGAAAATTGGTCCAGAATTGTCTAGGCTACTCTAGGCCCTCCTG